AATTTTGGTTTTAAGCTGAAATGCAGCACTGGGAGGCAGAAACAGGAGAAATGCTAATTCCAAAGCATTCAACTGGTTTGTTCCAAAACCAGTAGTAAATTAAATTTTTTAACATGATTATACTTTGAAAGGAAAAGGGATGATGGTATGGAATGGAGAAAAAATGAAGTATCTGCAAAAGAACAACAGATACTACCAAAAGGCACCATCACCCCCTCCAAAGTCACCATCCCTAAACCCAACTTAAAAGCAATCAGGGGCACCTGGATGGCACAGCTGGCTAAGCGTCCAACTTTGGTTTCAGCTCAGGTCATTATTTCAAGGTCGTTAGATTAAGCTCCCGGCCTGGCATGGAGTCTGCTTGGGATTCTCTCTCCGTCTCCCTCAGCCCCTCCACTCATGCTTTCTCTTTCTCTCCCTCTCTCTCTCCCAAAAATAAATAAATAGTGTTTTAAAAAAATTTTTTTAAATAAAAGTAATCAAACCTTTTCATTATAGTAATATAGGGGGATTAGGTAATGCATGCACGTGTGTGTGTGTGTTCGTGTGTTCTGTATTCTTTGAGCTTGGATGTGACATTCTATTTTAAAAGGAAAGGAATAGGGGCACCTGGGTGGGTCAGTCAGTCAGTTAAGTGGCCAACTCTTTGATTCTGGCTCAGGTCATGATCTCAGGGTCCTGGGACTGAGCCCCATATCAGGCTCTGTGCTCAGCGGGGAATATGCTTAAGAATTCTCTCTCTCCCTCTGCCCGCCCCCCACACTCGCATACTCTCTTTATCTCTAAAGTAAATAAATCAATCTTTAAAAAAAAGAAAAGAAAAAACTATCACTGTACTATTAACTTATATACATATATAAAATATATAAAAATACATAACAATAAGTTTGTATCCATCCTTATTTGCTTTTTAAGGAACATTAAAATCTATATAAAATAGCAGAAACCCAGGGACCAAAAGAAAGAGGACTGTAAGATTTTTAATGAAAATTCTGTAAGTCTGGACTCTGTAATACAGTGTATTCTAGTATACTGGGGTCTCTGGGTGGCTCAGCCGGTTAAGCATCCACCTTCAGCTCAGGTCGCGATCTCAGGGTCCTGGGATGAGCCCTGTGTCCAGCTCCCTGCTCAGTGGAGAGTCTGCTTCTCCCTCCACCCTTCCCCCTGCTTGTGTGCTCTTTTTCTCTCTCTCAATAAATAAAATCTTAATAAAGAAAAAAAGAATCTAGTATACTATGTCAACCCTTACTAAATCAACTTTTGGTGGTTTTTTTTTAATGACATTCCTGGAGGGCTGAACTTCCTAAAAGAGTAATGAAGAAGGCAAGAGGTAGTATGAAGCTACAGGTCAAACCAATGCTATACATCTTACTCCTTAGCAAACAAGCTTCAATGAAAAGGGAAGTTAAGGAGAACCAAGAGTGCTGGCTCCTAAATATTTCACCAGATCCTTTTTGCCCTTTGCCCTCATAAAGTACGATGAACCCAACTCCTTACTTTCTCCAGCCTTGCCTCTGGGTTGCCTGGTCTTACAACAGAAAATCTGGTAGTGGTGTTTTCAAAATGGTGTTTTCACACTGAATGACACATCTGACATACAAACTAAAGACTCCCAATCTCAGCCAGCCCCTCAACGTAGCTAAATAATCTATCCTGTAAATTCTTAAGCTTCCTGCCCGGGTCCCTCCCTTTAAGACTAAGGCTTTTCAACTCGTCACCTCTATTCTTCAGCTTTCCACCCAACCTCTGTACATCCCATATTGGCAGATGAATTTGCTGCACAAAGAAAATAGCTCTCAACATTTTAATTTATTTATTTAAATTATTTTTAAAATTTATTTACTTGTCAGAGAGAGCGAGCAGGGAGAGTGGTAGGCAGAGGGAGAAGCAGGCTCACCGCTGAGCAAGGAACCCAATGCAGGACTCAGTCCCAGGACCCTGGGATCATGACCTGAGGTGGAAGGCAGATGCCCAACTGACTGTGCCACCCACGCATCCCTTTATTTACCTTTTTAAAAGATTTTATTTTTAAGTAATCTCTACACCCACTGTGGGGCTCAAACTCACAACCCTGAGATTAAGAGCTACAGATTAAAAAAAAAAAAAAAAAAAAAGAGTTACACTTCACCAACTGAGCCAGCCAGGCACCTGCTCCCAATATTCTAAAGCTCCTTTTAACTGCCTCTGTCTCAGAGAAGGTAGTCCCTCTTCCTCTCTAGGCCTCACCCAGCAGCCCTCCACGGCTGCCCTGGACCTCATTCCCTCCCCCTTCTCTGGAATTGCTCCATCTGGTAACCCCTGGTAACCCTTCCCTTATCTTTAGTCTCTTTATCCAATGGTTTGTGTCCTGCACATATAAGACAACACATATGTTCAACACACTTTCACTATCCAGCCAAACATCAAAAGCTATACTGTTGCCTCTTCTGTCCCTTCCCAAACCAAAATGGCCATTTATACAAATCGCTTCACCTACTTCACTTCCACCAACTTCTCAATCCATTACCGTTCAGCTCTTCTATCTCCTCTCCATTGCCCCATGCTGTATTGAAACTATTTTAATTAAGATACAAATGACCTCCGAATTGCTCAACGGAACAGGTCCACTATCTCCTTTCAGTGATGACATTCTAGAAATTCTTTTCATCTTTAACAGTATTAAAAAGGTCTAAAGATTTTTCTCCTCCACTTCCCAAAACCTCCTGATTTTCATGCGCTCTTCTCCATGTACTTATTGAGTATCTAAAGGACCCATACTTGTCACTTGGCAAGCACTCTCTGAGGAACCACCACCCATTTCCACATGAGATACTATCTGTATTTTGTTGTCCCAAATTTCTTCCTCTAGCCACAAACCCTCTCAAAAGCAGCAAATTCCAGGGGCACCTGGGTAGCTCAGTGGGTTAAAGCCTCTGCCTTCAGCTCAAGTCATGACCTCAGGATCCTGGGATAGAGCCCCAAATCGGGCTCCCTGCTCAGCGCGGAGCCTGCTTCCCCCTCTCTCTCTGCCTGCCTCTCTGCCTACTTGTGATCTGTCAAATAAAAAAATAAAATCTTAAAAAAAAAAAAAAAAAAAAAGCAGCAAATTCCTATTAGCAACTGCTTAGAAAAAACATCCATTAGATTGACCCCAGCGAGCAACTCTAACTTCTAACAGGTCCTAAATCATGTTCTCTGTACCAAATCTCCACCTCTCAGGTAACAACATGCCTAGGCACCCAATTCCCCAAGGCAGAAATCTTAGGCTCCTCCATGAATTTTTTTCTCCCTCAGCTCCCCACCCCTATTATATCTGTCACCAAATCCCATTCATTTTACTTCCTGAACTCTTGAATCTAGTTCCCCCTTTCGTCCCCATTCCTATGAAGGCACTTAGGATCTTCTTTATCTCATAAATAAACCATTTCAACTAACCTCTACCACTAGTCTCTCCCTCATCTATTCTTATTCTGTATCACTATCAAAATTATCTTGCTAAAATAAACTCAAACTTCAAATGGCTATCGTATTTTTCCCTGTGAGATTGGCAGAAACTAAAAAGGAAAATAATACCGTGCTGGTCAGTTGTGTAGGGAAATGGATCTTCTCATAAACCTGGTGGGGGAGTTATTCTTAGGCAGAATATTGAGGCAATATCACCAGACTTATAAATGTGTATACCCTCTGATCTAGCAATTGTTTCAAGAAATTTGTTCTAATGAATTCACCAAGAAGTACCCAAAGATATACAAGTACCTCCTAAAGTTCCCATCATACCCAGCAAAGGCCAGTTTTTTTTTTTTTTTTTTTTTTAAATATACTATACAATTTGCCTGGAATGTCTCCCAACTCGTGCCCTTCTTCACCTGGTAAAAACTAGAACTCATCCTTGAGCTCAGGTCAGCAACTCCATCTTGTCTCCACAGCAACTTGGTCATGTCTCTGCATCACAGTGCAACCTCTCTTTCTCTCCTGCAATAGGCTGTGAGCTCTCTAGCAACAATGGTTTTATGTATTTTATTTATCACCTATCCATATCTGCACTACTTACAACAATGTCTAACACAGAGTAGGGAAACCAAACACATGTGTTCAATGAAGGCGTTTTCTTCCTCTTCACACAAAGAATTCTCGATTTCCAAAATCGGGAGCTTTTAAAAGGTATTTCCTAAAATGCTGGTGGACTCCAACATATGTTATGTGAAATTCCTCTATTGTAACAGGTATTCAAGCAAAGCAAACAGTCTTGTGAATTTATATAAGCAAATAGTCTGTGAGTCTTTGTTTGACGTTTAGTTCCTAAAGGCACAAGAATCCCCATACTGGGTCAGAACTGTGGTCTATCCAATTGAGGATTTTATCTTTGAAAGTGGTACCAAGAAACAGGTTGTAAAAAGACACAGCTATCCTTCCAGACGTTAAGTTAAAAATGTTCAAGTGTGTTCCAAAACACCTTACTTTCTTCAATAACCTACTATGAGTCCATCATACTTGAAATCACGTTTTGGAATCATTTAAAGTTTCAATACTATGCCAGAGCTCTTTTCCATGCTGTTATAGAAATAGCATTTCACATGTAAGTAGAGTAAGTACGTAAGTAGTACATAAGTAGCACTGTGCATCCATATACAAGAATGTTAGTTTGGTTATACACTTTTTTCCAAGTTGAACTCCTTTTTAGTTTCAAGAGGATTCCTAATTCTAATAAAGGCTCAAACAGCCTAATCACATCCTTCATGATTTCAGAAAGTTCAGTTCTACTCCTTTCCATCTTTGTCTTTCTAGACTGAAGAAATCTCATCTTTCTATTGTGTCCTTATAGAGAAACGCCTCTTTACTCTGCACCATTTCACTTTTCTTAATTTTGGGTTATCTTATAGGCTCCAAACTGAAACAATGCAGGTAGATCTATGAGATTTACTTTAATTTTATAGAAGTCAAGAAAAATTTCACCCCTGATGTAAGTTAGGAAAGACAGCCTTCAAAAATACCTTTGACAATCACGGTACCCCAAGACTTACAGGAAATCATAAGGTAGTCCTCACAGTTGCTTTTGTCATCATCTTGCTGGCCCACAGGGATCCCATTGGCATCTATGACTGCTTCAGAGGCACAATCTGCTACCAGTACTTCTTCTGAAACGACGTCCGTTGTCAGAGGGTCGGTGACGATTTCTGCTTCCACTACACTGTCATGAACCACGTGTTCAACATGTCCAACATCGGACACGTGTATGGATTCACTCGTCAAGACGTGTTCTGGCATAGACATTGAGGCTGAAGTAATGTCGGAAGCTAAAACATCATCTGGGACTGTGCAATGTGCTAAAGAAACTTCTTCAGTTACATCTGAGTCCAGCACTTGCTCAGGAATAATGACCGTTTCAGACACATCTGCTTCTTCCATGATATCGGGGCACTGAACATCTTCTATAACAACATCCTCAATAACATCCTGGATCACGACTGAGTCTGGGTCATCAGGAACAAAGTTATGCACAGTTATGTCTGAATCCACAACATCTGAAACAAAAACAGTTTCTTGTACTTCCACAACAATTTGATCACCGTCCATGTGTGCAGCATCAGCTCCTTAAAAAAAAAACAAAATTAAAATCACAAATTACACGAAGGTTTGCATGACTACCTCAAATAATGTAGAAACTATTTAATTCCTACCAGTAAAACAGATTAGCTCCTCAGTTTTCTCAAACACTAACACAGATCAAAGAGGGAATCTATTTTTGAATCATACCAGAAAAATAAATTTTTAATACAAGAACTTTTACTCTCATCCCAAATCAATTGACACATAAGGAAATACAGAAAAACAAGGCACCCAAGACAGTCTCACACACACACGCACAGAAAATCATCAAAGTAAAATTCTAGGCTCACTAAAGTTAATCCCATATGCAAAGGTACTTAAGGGATGATTATAAAAATAAGTAATGCAAGTTCAGGTGACAAATACACCATTTTCCTTCATTATATGTGTTTTCATTTCTTTTTCCTTCTTGTTCCATCTCTTTCTCCTCAGCTCATATTTTTTCATCTTTCTACCTCTCCCATGTATCTCTTTTGTTTTCACCCCTTCCATTTTTATCCCTTTCTCCCCCTTTGTTCTAGAACAGTAGCTCACCAATACCCTCCATTTATGACTGTGGAAATTTAGAAATTATCTTCTGAATCTAGGATATAAAAGGATCAGGGCATAAATGAAAAGAGGGCTAGAAGGCCACAGTTACAGAGAAAAGACAACTGGCTAAGGAGTCTCTGTGGACAGATGAGATGCATAAAAGTGCAGCTGCTCTGGAGTGGTGGAGGCCAAGGTTAGTTGGAATTGTGCCTGCCCCAACTTCACCAGGGTATTCGGTCTCCGCCCAGCCTCCTCCTGTCCCCCCATAACCCAATCCCCCAGGCAGCTCCTCAAAATATAAGAAACCTTACTCTAGTCCACGCTGCAATTAAGGAATAAAGGTAGAGGGTTGAATCAATTGAAGCCCCGCTGAGATTAAATGACTTCACCAAGATCACACAGTTTGCACAATTATGGTGCTCCGTAAATATTAATCTGAACGAATGCCACAAATGGGAATCAAAATCAAATATCCATGCCAAAAACATAGGATAAAAGAAAACAAATCCAGTATCTTGGATCCTAGTCTAGAGAAAAGAAAAGTTTTATAAAAGTCTTAACCTAAAATGCTATTCTGTTGATTGGTGCTTCTGGAAGTGACTCAAACCAGGCTGAGTCCAAGCAGCTGCTTAACTCAACGATTGTGTGTCACTGGCCAGGTCCTCAGAGACATATGGCTTTGTTTAACAAAGAATTACTAACAAGGGCCAAAAAAAAAAAATCATTAAAAAGATGTAGGAAATCTTACAGCCAGTTAATATCCATTTTAATCACATCTTTAAATAATACAGAGTATGTCTGCTTTAATTTCTATAGAACTTCCACAAAATGCTTTATACTCATTTATCTTCCATATTCTCAATATTAACATCAGCAAAAGATCATTGTAATCTCCATTTCAGACATGAAGATGAGAGCATTTGGTGGCAAGAAGACTGGTTACAAAATCTAAATCAGAGAATACAGTTTGAACACTTGTTCGTTTTGTGACCTTGGGCAAGTCATTTAACCTCTGAGTTTTGGTTTCCTCATCAGTCAAATGAGGACAGTAGTATCTGCCATGCATACCTCACAGGACTGTTGTGATGATCAAATGGGAATGTATGGGAAGTATTCTGAAAAACTGTAATGAGAGGTTTCATTATTATTAGGACATGAAAATGGAGGCCCTGACAGATTAAGTGACTTGCTCAAAGATAAACAAACACCGTTAAGTGTTAACAATCAGGGCTGAAATGCAACAGCCCTTCAATCTACCACTTAGCCAATGACCCAGGCTCACTTGTGGCAAGATTAAGCTGCTAAATAGTGTGTGTTTTTCTCCAAAGAGCTTAGTCTCTCTTTCAAGCACATTAATTCTACTTCATGGTCTAATGAAGAGAGAATTATACCTTTGCATTTATCATTATCAAACTGAAGTTACCAAATGTAAGTTAAAAGACTATTCTAAGTTGTTAAGAAAAATACATACACCCCCACTGGATTTAGAGATTAAAGAGGATTGAAGGAAAAATTAAAATTTAAAATTATTAATATTTAACTTCCTGATAAAGTGAATCACTATTTCTTTAATATACTGCAATATGATCATTTTAAGTCCAGTGGAAAACCAGTCAGCATTTTATTTATAAGGGTGGCTAGCTAGTGGGATAAAAAACCATTTTACATTATAACACCTAACATAATCACTGTACAATGCTATACAACTGCAATCATGGGTGACCTGAAACTGTAAATACACTTTTTTTTCCTATTTTTAGAACTTCATGAATTTAATCGTCCTTGTAGTTTGGAGAGTGAGGTAAGACTCCATCTTCCTGAAGCAGAGGGCTCCTTTTGTCACCTTGTGAGAGGCATGGTTATGAAAATAGGACAGGGTCAGAACGTGAAGGGCCTGGGGCTTATATTTTACCTTCAGGGTAATGGAAAACAGAGAAATGATACAATCCACATGTTATTTTTTGATCAGTATTCTAATTGGTGGGCTGGACAAAAGAGACTAAGGGTAAGGAAAATAATTTAAAAGTTACTAAAGACTGAGACAACAGAGAACGTCTATGGGGGAGGAAGTCAAATGAAGAGATGTAAGCAAGGAACATTTTCAAAAGGAGAAATAACCGGACTCAGCACTGTAAATCAGCAAGATGCGAGTAACTGAAGGGAGCACCCGCGTTTTGATACTGCTGCTATTATGGAGAAGAACACGAATGCTGGTTGTGAGGGAAACACATTTTTAAGGACAGGAATAATGATGTGCTCATTTTAACAAATGTAGGCGTGACAGGATAAAAATATACCTAAGTGTGAGTATCAATGTGAGAGTCTAGCAATTTGTCCACTTGATAGCCAACTCCAAATCTGGTAGTTGGGAAGCACAACAACCCAAGTTATACCTGTTGCATCAAAAAATGAGTTTGGCTCTTGTGGTTGTAATTCAAGTCCATCTTCATCCATGGCCTTTAATTCTCATCAGTCACAGTTCCTAAATCAGAAAAAAAAAGTAAACCAAGCATTACTTTTTTAATATCATGTATTAAAAATCTCATCATGACATTTACATTTCTGAAACATTCGAAATTACATGAGAGATGAACACCTATCAAAAATTTATCTGGGACGCCTGAGTGGCTCAGTGGGTTAAGCCTCTGCCTTCGGCTCAGGTCATGATTTCAGGGTCCTGGGATCGAGCCCCAAATCAGGCTCTCTGCTCAGCGGGAAGCCTGCATCCCCCTCTCTCTCTGCCTGCCTCTCTGCCTACTTGTGATCTCTCTGTCAAATAAATAAGTAAAATCTTTTTAAAAAAATTTTATCTACCGGGGTGCCTGGGTGGCTCAGTGGGTTAAAGCCTCTGCCTTTGGCTTAGGTCATGATCCCAGGGTCCTGGGATCGAGCCCAGCATCGGGCTCTCTGCTCGGCGGGGAGCCTGCTTCCTCCTCTCTCTCTGCCTGCCTCTCTGCCTACTTGTGATCTCTGTCTGTCAAATAAAAAAATAAAATCTTTACAAAAAATTTTTTTTTTATCTACCTAGGGATGCCTGGGGGCTCAGTCAGTTAAGTGTCTGCCTTCAGGTCATGATCCTGGGGTCCTGGGATGGAGTCCCACATTGGGCTCCCTGCTGACCAGGAAGAGCTTCTCCCTCTGCCTGCCGCTCCCCCTGCTTGTGTGCGAGCACGCTCTCTCTCTCTCTCTCTCTCTCTAGCAACTAAATAAAATCCTTTTAAAGAAATTTATCTACCTAAATTAAAGAGAACTTAACTGATGTCCAATGACATATGGGCATCTAGATGACAAGGGAAGGCAGATAAACCAAACAAGTCAAATATGCCTAGCTTTTTTTTTTTTTTTAAAGATTTTATTTATTTATTTGAGAAAGAGAGCACACCCAGGGGGGGGGGCAGGTGAGGGAGAGAGACTCCCCACTGAGCAGGGAGCCCAATGTGGAGGCTGATCCCAGAACCCAGAGATCATGACTCAACCTGAAGGCAGACACTTAACTGACTGAGCCACCCAGGTGTCCCTACACCTAGCTTTTTAACTGAGATAGTGCTTTCACACATCACGTATACACATCTTGATGAATTTTTTTAAAGATTTATTTATTTTAGAGAGAGAAAGAGGCAACATGGGGGAGGCAGAGACAGAATCTCAAACCGACTCCCCCACTGAGTGCAGAGCCCAAAGCAGGGCTTGATCTTATAACCCAGAGATCATGACCTGAGCTGAAATCAAGAGTTGGATGCTTAACCAACTGGGCCACCCAGGTGCCCCACATCTTGATCAATTCTGACACAGGCATAAACCTGTATAATCACTAAACTACTCAGATCAGGATCCAGAACATTTCCAGCACCCAAGCACTCTTGTCTCCTCTCAGTCCATATACCCCATATTCCCAGAACAGTAATCAGTTTTATTAAAGTTCAATTTAATCACACTCTACAGCTTACTGGAGGGAAATTTATCCACAATTTCCCCATTACTTCTCTAAATCTAATGTAGTCTATCTTCCAACCAATACATTAAACAACTGTAAAAATTCAAAATGCTAACTGCAGTAAAAACACCTCTCAGGGGCGCCTGGGTGGCTCAGTGGGCTAAGCCTCTGCCTTCAGCTCAGGTCATGATCCCAGGGTCCTGGGATCGACCCCCCCATCTGGCTCTCTGCTCAGCGGGGAGCCTGCCTCCCCCTCTCTCTCTGCCTGCCTCTCTTCCTACTTGTGATCTCTGTCTGTCAAATAAATAAAATCTTAAAAACAAACAAACAAACAAACAAACAAAAACACCCCTCGGGCATTCTGCCTAAGTTACGCTGACCCCTCTTAACTGACCCTCCAATCTAGAGAAGTAAATTCCCACAGTGTACTTATGCTCTCCAGGCCACATTTGACTGGCACTAGGTAAAAAAAAGTAAACACAAGTTCATCTGTGAGCATAATAAAATCAAAGTCTTATCCCTGAGAATCTGAAACCATGAACAAAGGTCTTCTCCCCACCACTACCAATCCTGGCTGTAACACAGGACATGAGGAAGGCCATTTTCCAACTTCAGGTTAGATTAGTGAGACAGTTTTACATATAAAAAAATAAAAAAAGAATCCAGGGAATGCCCGGAGAAATAAAGTAGAGGGAGTAGGGAGGGGAGGTTTACCAAAAACTTTTTAGCTCCTGGTTCTAGACCTTTCTGAAACCCAGCTATAGAACCTTACTTGCCTTGGGTTTTTACACGACAACCCAATGACCTTAATGCTCCCTTTTTTCTACTTAAGCCCAAACTTACAAAAACAAAAAAACTTGGGGCGCCTAAGTAGCTCAGTCAATTGAGCAGCGGACTCTTGGTTTCTACTCAGATCATGATCTTGGGGTTGTGGGATCAAACCCTGCACTGGGCTCCTCTGAACTTAGCAGGGAAGTCAGCTGGAGGATTCCCCCTCCCTCTGCCCCTCTCACTGCTCACGCACAGACACTCTCACTCTCTCTAAAATAAGTAAATCTTTAAAAAACGAAAATCTTAACTAATTAAATACTACACATTTAATACTAATTACTAATAAAGGATTGTGGTTTATTCATGTTGTAAATACTGCATAAACCTCCTCCCTCATTGGTTTCCTTATCTACTTTCTCACTTCCTAATCCAGCCTAAATGGTACTATTTAGATGCATTTTTCTTTTACATTTATCATTTTTTGCTGGTGATATAAGTACTGAATGCCTCTTACTAAAATTTCAAATAACAGAAAGTACAAAACTTTTCAAGTTTATTATTTTAGTAATCTCTATAACCAACACGGGGCTCAAACTCACAACCCCCAGATTATGAGTCCCACACTGTGAATGAGCCAGCCAGGTGCCCCAAGAGTCATTTTTCTAAAGATTCACTTAGATGATGTCATTCTTCTGTTGAAAAATATTTAATGGCTTCCTGCTGCTTCCAAATAAAGTTCACACTCCTGCCATCTTCTGAATTCCAGCCCCAAACTATCTTTCCATCATTCTCTCCCCTACCTTCCCTTCAACCACCTCCACCCACGACTGCAGGAACACACTTCAGCCAAACAAAAATGTCCCATGTCCCCACTAAGATCCCAGCTCTACACTGAGCTCAGGGTTGTCTCTACCTGGAACTCCTTTCCCTTATTAACTCTGATTAGACCTTTTCCCCAAATCCCCTCAAAAACACACACACACACACACACACACACACACACACACACACACACACATCCTTCCTCTGAATTTCTACAGCACTTTTATCCTTTTACTCTGATTTTACTTGTTGCAATATTTATTTTTATATATCTTATTTTCAGATGTTAAACTTACATATAAATAGTTCTTAAACATCCATTAAAAACTGAAATAACATTAATATAATAAATGATTTTCAACATGTCATCTCTGAGACATATTCATTTTCAAGGAAGGACCTGTTTTGTGTTATTTATTCAAACTGCTTTGAATTAAAAGGAACAAAAAATTTTCAACTATGAAAAATGGAAAATATACACGCTCTAAATAAGTTGTCAACTGCTTTCTCCGCATTAAAATCACCTCTGGCAGGGCATCTAGGTGGCTCAGTTGGTCCTGGGTCCTGGTATCAAGCCCCCTGTCAGGCTTCCTGCTCAGTGGGAAGTCTGCTTCTCCCTCTCCCTCTGGCCCCCCACTCGTGTTTTATCGCTGTCTCAAAAATAAATTCCTTAGAAAATAAAAATAAATCAATATAATAAAATCATCTCTGACCATAATGTTTTCTATTCCCCCCTTAAAAATGTAATTCCAAAATGATAAACAGTAAATTAATCTTCTAAACATAATGCCATACTACTTTCCAAAATTAAGCCAATTAAGAGGCCAATAAATAGGATTGTTAGGGTATTAAGGCCCTCTCTCCAGTCTCCCTACAAAACCCAATCCCATCAGCTCTAAGAATTCTCAACCCGCACACTAAAAATTCTTTTGCTGGGTATTCATCCTTCTTGGCTTTTCTATTTGACAGATAATCACTCCCCTGGATTCCAGAATTCTCTCCTCTCATTTCTCTTCCCACCTTGCCAACTGCTGGTTACTCTGCCTCCCCACTCCTTACTGCAGCCTTGCCCCAAAAGATCAGCCCTCTTTTATTCTTTTTATTCCACGGTTTCAACTGCCATGTACACAAAGATGAGTCCCCAAATCCACATACTCGGGGTAGCCCTAACACTTAGTTCCACCAGACTGCCTGCGGAACATTTTCATCAGGACAGAACCCTGCTTTCTCCTGACATGACCACTATGGCCTTTTCCTTCTTCCCTGCTTAAATTCAATCAGGTTGTCAGGCCTTCTCCGTTTCTTCTCCACAACTTCTCAGGAATCTGTCCCTCTCTATTCCCAGCGTCACCGCTTACTCTGAGCTTCCTATTTCCTGATTCCCACCGCCCACCCCCACTGCGCCCCGCCCCCCGCCCCCGCCCCGGGAACGCGGGATGAAAATAGCCTCTCCACCAGCCTTTCTGCCACTCCCACAACAAATGACGAGGAAGCACGTTCCGTGTGAGGGCTGGGGCCAAGTCCTGAGGAGGCGGTCCTGCAAGTCACATCTGCTGCACACTGATCCTCCCAAGCACCGCTTTGACCAGGGCGCTCCCTTGCTCAGAAAGCTTGCAGTTCCCCAACATGCCAGCTGCTCGAAAATATTAACCCCAGCTATCACAACAGACTTATTAGCCATTATTCCCATCATTTTACATCCTATCCATTTATTTTCTAACAGATATACTGGCCCAAGTGGTGGATATCCACTCACCTTATTTTTGACATAGGTGAGCAGTAATTATTAATAATTATTAACAGTTTTGACTGATTATTTTTCATTCTATTTTGTCATTACAAAATTCACATCAGGAAAAAACGTGTTTTGTACCTTCAAGCGGAGAGGACTATCCTTCAACTTTGTAACCCCTGTGTGGTTAGAAGTAATTCTGATAATCAGAATGAAACCAATGTTCTTGGAACAGAAACTACTTAGAAGAGTTCTCAGGATTAGGAAAAACTAAGAGTGGGGCAATGTGCACTAATAACATAACGGAAATTGCCCCTGCCATTGCTGCATAAACCAAGCCCAGAGTTGAATCTGGAGGCAAGTAAGCAGAATGGTTCAGAGAACCAATACACTTAACCATTTAGGTGAACACATACTAACATTTTGTCTGATTACCAAATGTCCCCAAAAATACTTCTGTGACCCCACTCTCACCTCAAGGTCAATAAAACAGTCCCTTCCCACTTGCAAAAATCATGATCCTAACCATGGTGTGGAAGGATTCACAAGAGAAAAACACAGTTTTAAGGGAAATAATGGGTTGAGCAAAACTCAAAAAATTCACAAAAACTTTCTTCCATTCTTTAAAATAAAGCAGTAAAAATACCATACCAAGTTAACAGGTATAGCAAGGGCATTTATCTATCTTAAATTAGGGTAAAGAATATATTTCCATCTTGGATCTCTTGATGCCTAGACACTGTAGTGATCTCCCTTCTTGAGCAAGTTAACAGGGTTCTTACATATTCACTTTGCTTTCTGCAGCTATTACGCATACAAGAATTACTTTTCTGCTTTTGGCCTCCCAAAAACTCACTGCCTTTTAATTTTATGGCTCAACCCTAGTTCCTCTCCCTAAGTCAAACTCAGAGAACCCAACTGTACTATACACAGCAAATGGAATTGCTCAAGCTGCAGGAAAGGCAAAAAGCAGATCTGTTTCTAAGAGAACTCTTCTTCCTTTCTCTTAAGTAAACTCTACCCCAAAATGGGGCTCGAACTTGAGACCCTGAGATCAAGTCACATACTCTGAGATTTTTCTTAGAGCAAAAGTGGAACTGGTGAAAATTTACATTTAAAGCCTAATTAATATCTTCCCTCTTAAGCTATGTTTCTCTCCAATTTTTACCCCACGTTGTTCGATGTTGGCCATTATTTCTTCAGATACCTAATGGAATTATATTTCACTTTTCTTACCAATTCAGCCCTTAAATTAAGTTTGCCTCTAAGCTAGCCACTCTTAAATTCGTCAAGTCCTCTTTATTTTCACTGCTACCTCTCTACAAAGCTCTGGTTTCTTACATCTAGAACCCAATGGGGCCTTTCCAATTAAAAGACTTGAGCCCTTCTGGGGGCACTGAGCTGGCTCAGTCTTAACATGTGGGACTCTTGATCACAGGGTCATGAGTTCAAGCCCAGTGTTGGGCATAGAGATCGCTTAAAAACAAAAAACAAAAAACAAACAAAAAAAAGACCTGAGCCCTTCTTGAACTCAAGGAATTTTCTTCTGTTGTTTTTATATTTCCTCCCATCTTCTCTGTTCCTTCATATTAGAATTTCTATTATATGATGTAAGGACTCCTAAATCTAGCCTCCATGTTGCTTTTTCTTTCATATTTTCTTTCAACTACATTCTAAAAACCCCTAAACTCTTTTCTCTAAGCTAGCTAATTTGATCTTTACTCCGTCAACTGAGTTTTTAGGTCATATTTTAATATCAAAATAGACTTAGCTTCTTTTTCACAGCAATCTTTTCTCTCTCTCTCTCTCTCTCTCTCTTTTTTTTTTTTTTTTTTTGGGGGATACTGTATCTTCCCAAATATCTCTGGAGATCTGAAGTTAACTCTATATTCTAAATTAAACTGTCTCCTCTGCTGTCTCATTATTTAAGTGTTTAGATTTGGTGCCTCTTTCAGACTTCTGATTTTCCTCAAAAGCATGATTCTTCTAGATTGTCAATTAATATCTGTAGATGAAGGTCAAGACTAAAGTTACATTCTGAGAACTGGATTGTATTTCCTCAGCTCAAGTGAGAATCCCTATATGCCTAGCAATGAATCTAAATTATGACCACATTGAGAGCTCTATAGTCTAGAAGGATGAGGCCAAGGGAGAGAAAAGAACCATGTAAACAGCCAGGCTTTCCTTTAATGAGGGATAAGCATCCCATCTTCCAGGTACGGGAGGTCCAATAACCCTCAGATTAACTACAAGCTACCTAAAGCACTGTCCCTTTCTCCCCACAGTACCCACATTGGAATTTCCTATGGACAATCTGTAAATCAGAGTGTTGAATTTCTGGCATTATCTCAGGAGGAAAACCACATGAGAAGACATCTATACTCATAGGTAAATGATTTAGCTTTCCATATTTTTAATTAACTGGCTGTGACCACGGCTTGCTCTTTCAGACATCCCTGCTTCTGAGATTAGGAATAATGCCCAATGAAATTTCTGGATGGTCCTTCCAACTTTTTGAAAAAGGCTACAGGTTCACTAAGCTCCCTATGGTACTGCCATTTTTTGATTCCCAATTGCTTTATTCAACCAGAAATTTGTCATATTCTGGATGACAAGTGGCATACCTATCAGATTTTTTAAATTTCTCTGCATTTTTCTGCTTCTTCAATATGATTTTCAAAGGGGGAAAAAAAGGTAAAATGTGTGTGTTCTCTAGTCTATCTTGAATTTGAAATCATTATGAATTTGCATGAGATAAATAAAACATGAAAATATATAAAAACAGTAAAACTATGAGACAGAAAGAAAAAATTAGTAGTAGTGGCAAGTTACAACTCTTACCAACACTTGACAGATCAAATACTCAAAAACTAAGGAAAGAGGGGCGCCTGGGTGGCACAGTCAGTTAAGCATCCAACTGTTGGTTTCAGCTCAGGTCATGATCTCAGGGTCGTGACATCAAGCCAGCCCCGCCTTGGGCTCCACCCTCAGTTCAGACTCTGCTTGAGGTTCTCTCTCCCCCCTCTCCCTCTGCCTCTCACCCTGCTCTCCTGTGAGTGCTCTCTCTAAAATAAATAAAATCTTGAAGAAAAAAAAAAAACTAAGGAAAGAGACGTATATAATTAACAATATTAATCTAATAACTTTATTTCAAATTCCATTCCTGAAGAATAATATATTTTATTTTCAAACATCCTTGCCCACCCTCTGTGACAAGAGGAGGAAAAGAAATGCTTGCTGCTGTGAATACCCGAATCCCATCCTTCCTTGTCCTACTCGGAACTTTTGTACACTTGCTCAAAATTTCAGTGCCAAGCTTTTGTTACAGATTAGTTTTTTCCATAGAACCAAACTGAGCCAATCAATAACTTCACTGTTTTGTTTAAAGTCTAAGAGTTTGAACTCGCAAAATCTATTAAAATCTGGTCCTAAAATGACAAGTCTTCTTAATGCCTTATTTTTCCAAAGCCCTTATTCATGCTCAGACTTAGAGCTGCCAAAGGACCCTCAGAACCTAGATGCACTGATGTGCCGTCAACACCAAGCACTGGAGTTTTTAAATGCCTTGAAGTCTGTAGCTTGATGTTAGGAAATGCATATCCTTTCTAACTAGTTTTTCATATGTAAAGCATATGAAAATATTGCTATTTAATTCACTTAATAATTTGTCAATCCAGGTTCATTACACAACAATCTACCGTGGGGGGGGTAGAAGGATGGACAAAATGGAAGGGATGTAAAAGGTACAAACTTTTAGTTATAAATTAAGTAAGATAGGTAAAATGTACAGAATAGGGAATTCAGTTAATAATCTGTAAAAACTTTACAGTGACAGATAGTAGCTAAATTTATCATGGTGATTACTTCATAAGGTATATAAATGTTGAGCTACTACATTTTAATATACTGAATATACTGTACCACATATACTATACAATAATATATAATACACTGAAACTAGTAGCACTGTATGTCAACTACACTTCAGTTAAAAAAATAATGTATAAAAACTCACTTTGGATCACTCTTCTTGATTTTGTCCTGAAAAATAATTTTTAAATAGTTTATTAGTCTTTATTGAGATTTTGAACAGAAATCCTACTCACATATTTCCTCTAATGAAGTATTCTGCCTTTAGTTGCAGGTGTACTGGAGTGGGAAAATGTCAAACACTTGATGTGACCGAAGGATAAAAACAGTTTCCTGACATAATATGAACTGGAGGTTAATTTAAACTACATTGTACATGAAATAGTTAATTGAAATAAACTGCATGTGGAGGGGCGGCATTTTTAAAAGGTCAATCTCTGTTAAATACAGTACATGATGAAGAAAGACTGGTATTATTAGAAACTGTGTTCCTCCCCTTTTCCTTTTTCTTGTACTTGCCATCTTTCCCAAAACTGGGCATTTAATTCATCTCTTGAACTGATTATCCCCATAGTTAACTAAGTACTTTTCTTATCAAATTCCTTCTTAATGAGTAATGTCTCCTTATATTTGAAAATCTTTCTGATAATGCATTAGAATTTGGGTGGTCTTTTTTTTTTTTTTTTTTTTTTTAAGATTAAAGCATTCTTGTTTTCATGTTACTTCATTCAAGCTAGTGCTTTCCTTAATTTTCTGGCAACTGGTTATATAAACCATGTATTACAGATTTAGAGTTTTTAAGCTATTTTAAATATTCTTAAACTATGAAACGTCTTAAAATTACTGTCTTGCCAGATCACCAACACAATAACTTAACTAATACTGACCCTACTTTTTCCCTTACCTACAAGACCACATGCTGCTTATTATGGCTTTTCCTAAATACAGGACTTTGGGTTTGCAAGGTTCTACTGACACTAACAATGTTCTCTGTATGTGTTAAACACTGGCAAAAAATATAATGCCAGGCTTTTCAACAACTATAACAAAAAAGAAATTTTTTAGGATTTTCTTTCTTTGGCAGAGACAGAGAGCACAAGTGGGGGTCGGGGGTAGCAGGCAGAGGGACAGGGAGAAGCAGGCTCTCCACTGAGCAGGGAACCTGATGTGGGGTTCCATCCCGGGACCCTGGGATCATGATCTAAGCCGAAGGCAAACGCTTCACCAACTAAGCCACCCAGGTGCCCCATAACAAAATTTGTAAATTCACAGTTGCAAAATCATGGAATGTTTTTACATTGATTTTTTGCTAAAGCAATTAGTAGTATGTTTTGTACCTATAACTTGTTAAATCCTTTCATAATTAAAAAGAGAAAAAAAAAAAAAAAAGACCAGGCTAGACACCACAGGGATTGGTTTGCAACACACCTGCTTTCTCCTCTTTTTCTTTTTTTTATAAACCCTGTGTTGAGGGATCACCTGGTTCTTACATGACTAACAGTGGCATGCTCCACTGAGTATCAGCTCCAGGTTAAGTATCAGCAGCATTAATTCCACCATCATTCTCTGGGGCAAAGTTAGGGAGCCAGTCAATTTATACCTCACCAAAAGAATCCAAACCTGGCTCTTTTCAGGAGTTTGGGGAGATAGCAAAATACTACTAAATAATAATCTAAAATGGGGGGGGGCAGAGACTGAGAGAAAGCACAAACATATAATCTGAAATGATAAACACACAAAAAAATTTTAAATCTTGTAAGAAAATAGCCTATAATTCTGTGTTAGCACATTAATGAGAAATGTGTAAAGCATTATTAATTCATGGAAAACCCAATCACCATGAAATTGCGGGAAAAAATTTTTGAATAAAGGAGAAAGTGCCAGAACAGAGGAGAAAAGCTTTCTCTTTCTTTTACAAAATTTTGCCATTTTTTAAAAAACCTAACTAAAATAATGTAATCAAACCACAAACTTGATTAATTATGAATCCAAAGTGAAGTGTTTGCAAATGTGATCCACCATGTAAAAAACATGTACACACAGACACACACAGACCTTGACAAACTATGGTTATTCCGGAATTCAAGGATGGAGCCAAATAATGGCCCAAATTAATGGGTCAAAAAAGGAAAATCCTAATACTCAATAGATGCCAAAAAAGTTGAAATTCAACATCTATTTCTGTTATATGCCGTTTTTAGCAGTATTCTCTCCAGGTTTGGGCAGGGTCATAATTTAACAATTAGTCAGGATGTCTCCTTTTTTGTCCGCTTTTCATTTCCCATACTCTGGAACATCTACCTTTTATTTAAAACAAACTACTCAGGAGGTGCCAGGGTAGCTCAGTGGGTTAGGTATCTGCCTTCTCCTTGGGTCTTGAGATCAGGCCCCACATCCCCACATGGGGTTCCCTGGCTTGGCGAGGAGTCTGCTTCTCCTTCTCCCTCTGCCTATCCCCCTGCTCCCGCTTACTTGTGGAATAAATCTTAAAATATATATATATATATATATATATTTTTTTTTTTTTTAAAGATTTTATTTATTTATTTGACAGACAGAGATCACAAGTAGGCAGAGAGGCAGGAAGAGAGAGAGGAGGAAGCAGGCTCCCCGTCAAGCAGAGAGACTGATGCAGGGCTCGATCCCAGAACCCCGAGATCACGACCCGAGCCGAAGGCAGAGGCTTAACCCACTGAGCCACCCAGGTGCCCCTTAAAAAATATATTAAAAAAAAAAAAAAACATCCTGTTACACTGTAATATAAAGATTTTTTTTAAAGGTTTTGTTTTTATGTAATCTCTGTACCCAACATGGCGCTCAAACTCACAATCCCAAGATCAAGAGTCACATGCTGTACCTACTGAGCCAGCCAGGTAGCCCAGAAAGGTTATTTTCGTAACAGTTAAAAAATACAACAGGAGTGGAGTACCCGGGTTGCTCAGTCCGTTAAACATTTGACTTTGGCTCAGGTCATAATCTCAGGGTACTGGGACTGAGCCCATGGAAGAGAGCCCACATCACCCCACCTTGGGCTCTAGATTCTGTGCTCAGCAGGGAGTCTGCTTGTCCCTCTATCCCTCCCCCAGCTCATGCTCACTTGTGCACATGGGGTCTCTCTCTCAAATAAATAAAATCTTTTTAAAAAAACACAACAGGAATGAAACACAAATACATGCTACAACATGGATTATCCTTGGAAAGAATATGCTAAGTGACAGAAGCCAGAAACAAAAGATCATGTATTAAATGTCAAGAATAGGCAAATACATACAGATAGAAAGTAGATTACTGGTTGTAAGGGGTGGGAGTTAGTGACAATGATTGCTAATGGACACAGGGTTCCTTTTGGGGGTGATAAAATGCCCTAAAATTAGTGGTGATGGTTGCACAACTCTGAGTTTACTAAAAACCACTGAATTGTACATTTTGAAAGGGTGAATTTTATAACAATTTTATAAATTATAAAAAACACAAGTATAAGCAAATCTTAAACTAGTGCATGTTACACAACATGTTTTTGGACAGGAGAATGATGTATGAACTTATAATAAAAAAAAGACATCGATTCAATTAAGGTAAAACATTCAAAGTATTCCTTCTAAAGTCAATGAAAACAAGGACACCCTGGGGTGCCTGGGTGGCTCAGTCCCTTAAGTAACGGACTCATAATTTTGCCTCAGGTCATGATCTCAGAGTCATGAGTCTGAGCCCAGCACAGAGCTCAGCACTGGGCATGCAGCCTGCTTAAGATCATCTATCTCCCTCTCCCTCTGTCCCTCCCCAACAACTCCCTAACACTCTCTCAAAAGACAAGTATACCCAATAACAGTATTATTAAGATTACATGAGAATTTATAGCCAATGTAATTAGGTAAGATAAATACGATGCAAACCACAATTATTTAAAAGAAGTTATACTTATTTATATATGATCTAACTATGCAGTCCAAAGGAATCAAATGAAAAACTACCATCAGTATCGTTTTATAGTGTGATGGTACAAAATTAATAGACTTGAAGACAAAAGTTTTTTTACATAACACATCTAAATCCCATTGATAAAAATACTTGAAAACTCTAAGTGTGATTAAAAAACACAAATATATAGATAAATTAATCTTGCTCTTCAAACCCACAACTATATAGTCAATTAATCTTTGACAAAGTGGGAAAGAATATGCAATGGGAAAAAAGTCTCTCTAATAAATGGGGTTGGGAAAATTGGACAGTTACATGCAAAAGAATGAAAACTGGACCACTTTCTTACACCACACACAAAAATAAATTCAAAATGGATGAAAGACTTAAATGTGAGAAATGAAAGCATTAAGATCCTAGAAGAAAACACAAGCAAATAACTTCTTCGACATAGGCAACAGCAACTTCTTTCTAGATACGTCTCCTGAGGCAAGGGAAACAACAGCAAAAATAAACTGTTGGGACATGATCAAAATAAAAAGCTCCTGCACTGCAAAGGAAACAATCAACAAAGCTAAAAGGCAAACTACAGAATGGGAGAAGACATCTGCAAATAACATGTCTCATAAAGGGTATCTAAAATATATAAAGAATTTATAAACCTCAACACCCAAAACAGAAATAATCCAATTAAATAACGGGCAAAAGACACAAAGAGACACTTTTCCAAAGAAAACATACAGATGGAGAATAGACACATCAAAAGATTCTCAACATCACTGATCATCAGGAAAAATATAAATCAAAACTACAATGAGATATCACCTCACATCTGTCAGAATGGATAAAATCAACAACAGAAGAAACAACAGGTATTGGTGCGGATGTGGAGAAAGGGGAACCCTCTTTGCACTGCTGGTGGGAATACAAACTGGTACAGCCACGGTGGAAAACAGTATGGAGGTTTCTCAAAAAGTTAAAAATAGAACTATGCTATGATCTGGCAATTGCAATGGGTATTTATCCAAATACAAAAATTCTAATTCAAAGGCATACATGCATTCCAATGTTATAGCAGCATTATCTACAATAGCCAAATTCTGGAAACAGCCCAAGTGTCCATCAACTGATGAATGGATGTGGTATATATACACAATGAAATATTACTCAGCCATAAAAAAGAATGACATCTTGTCATTTGCAATGACACGGATAGAGCTAGAGTACTGTGCTATGCGAAATAGGTCAGAGAAAGACAAATACCATTT